GAAAAAATCCCAAAAAAAATCGGCAAAAAAATCCCCAAAAAATCCCAAAAAATCCCAAAAAAAACCCCCAAAAATTCAGAAAAATTCCCCAAAAAATTCCCCAAAATCCCCCCAAAAATTGTCCCAAAATCCCCAAAATTTGGCCCAAAAATTCCCCCAAAAATCCCAAAAATTCCACAAAAAAATCCAAAAAAATCCCAAAAAAATCCCAAAAAATTCCCCAAAAAATTTGTCCCAAAATCCCCAAAATTCGGCCCCAAAATCCCCAAAAAATCCCAAAAAATCCCAAAAAAAAACCCAAAAAATTCGAAAAAAAATCCCAAAAAATTCCCCAAAAATTGTCCCAAAATCCCCCAAATTTGGCCCAAAAATTCCCGCCAAAAATCCCAAAATTTGGCCCAAAAATCCTCAAAAATTCGAAAAAAATCCCAAAAAATTCCCCCAAAAATTTGTCCCAAAATCCCCAAAATTCGGCCCCAAAATCCCCAAAAAAATCCCCAAAAAATCCCCCAAAAAAACCCAAAAAAATCCCAAAAAATTCCCCAAAATTCCCCCAAAAATTGGCCCAAAATCCCCAAAATTTGCCCCAAAAATCCCCAAAAAATCCCCAAAAAAATCCTTAAAAATTTCCTCAAAATTCCATGAAAAGATCCCAAAATTATCCCAAAAATTTCTCCCAAGATACCCCAAAATCCCCAATTTTTCCCCCAAAAATCCCTGCTTTTTTTGGCCCCAAAATCCCCCAAAATGGCCCCAAAAAAGCCAAAAAAATCCCAAAAAATTCCCAAAAAATTCCACAAAAATTTGTCCCAAAATCCCCAAAATTTTGCCCAAAAAATCCTCAAAAATTCAAAAAAAATCCCAAAAAATTCCCCCAAAAATTTGTCCCAAAATCCCCAAAATTCGGCCCCAAAATCCCCAAAAAATCCCCAAAAAAACCCCAAAAATTCAAAAAAAATCCCAAAAAATTCCCCAAAAATTGTCCCAAAATCCCCAAATTTGTCCCAAAAATTCCCCATAAAAAACCCCCAAAAATCCCCATTTTTTCCCCATTTTTTGACCCAAAAATCCCCATTTTTTGACCCAAAATTAAACTCCAGGCCCGGAATTGGGAGCAGGACATGGAGCCGTGCTGGGGCTGCCACTGGGAGGGCAAAGAAAGGGTTAAAAACTGACCCAAAATTGCAGAAATTCAACCCAAAAATTAATGCAGGAATTATAAAAAAAACCCAAAAAATTCGGCCAAAAAATCCCCAAAAAATCCCAAAAAATCCCAAAAAAATCAAGAAAAATTCCCCCAAAAATTCCCCAAAATCCCCCCAAAAATTTGTCCCAAAATCCCCAAAATTTGGCCCAAAAAATCCTCAAAAATTCAAAAAAAATCCCCAAAAATTCCCCCAAAAATTTGTCCCAAAATCCCCAAAATTCGGCCCCAAAATCCCCAAAAAATCCCCAAAAAAAACCCCAAAAATTCCAAAAAATTCAAAAAAAAATCCCAAAAAATTCCCTGAGGCCCCTCCCAGTCCAAACCAGTATAAACCAGTATAAACCAGTATAAACCAGTATAAACCAGTATAAACCAGTATAAACCAGTATAAACCAGTATAAAAATCCATCAATTCCCCCCATTTTTCCCCCAAAAAAACCCAAAAAAATTCCAAAAAAATCCCAAAAAATTCCCAAAAAATTCCCTGGGGCCCCTCCCAGTATAAACCAGTATAAACCAGTATAAACCAGTATAAACCAGTATAAAAATCCATGAATTTCCCCCATTTTTCCCCCAAAAAACCCCCAAAAAATTCCAAAAAAATTCCAAAAAAATCCCAAAAAAATCCCAAAAAATTCCCTGGGGCCCCTCCCAGTATAAACCAGTATAAACCAGTTTAAACCAGTATAAACCAGTATAAACCAGTATAAACCAGTATCAAAATCCATCAATTCCCCCCATTTTTCCCCCAAAAAAACCCAAAAAATTCCAAAAAAATTCCCAAAAAATTCCCTGGGGCCCCTCCCAGTATAAACCAGTATAAACCAGTATAAACCAGTATAAACCAGTATAAACCAGTATAAACCAGTATAAACCAGTACCGGCAGCTGGCAGCGGGGACAGCAGCTCTGCTGGCACTGGG